GAGTGAAGTCCTTTTCAGACAACTTCAGCTATACTTAACAGTACTTCAGGCATATTGCCTTGTAGCACTGTCTTTTGTTAACCTTAAGATGGTATGTCTTTGCAAAATATTACTTGGCCTTCATCAGCCAGTTGTGCAGGTTGGTAAATTGGAAAAATGTATTAAAAGGAGAGAATGTGGCAGTGTCTCACGATTTTAAAAGCATGTTGCTTGTTCTTTAGTAAGTGAGAGCAGCTTAAAAGTCATATTAGTGGTAGTCTCTGCATTTTTCTGCAGTCAAAATTTATTTAATGGCTTTTGGCTTTTTGTTCCAAAAACCTTAAAACCAACCTTATCCTTGACATTGTGAAATGCCTGTTATGCTAATTAGGTCTGTGAATCCTCATCAAAGAGATACTTGATTTTGTCTCGATGACCTTTTTAAACTTTTCTCTTTGTTTTTTAAGCTTGCAAGTAAGGAAGTAATCTATTAAATTAGCCTTGCAAAACTTATTGTGGAAATTCATCAGTCCACATTCTGCTCTCATCATATGTTATTGTATGAGTATAATTTTAAATTTGTCCCTTAAATTATCAGTCACGTAACAGGCAAGAACCATGTTAAACAGTCTGTGTCTAGCTGTTCCCTGATAAGCACTGCAAATTACAAAGGTGGCAGTTTCTTCTGACTGCTCTCTTAAAGTAGTTTTCTGTCTTTCTGAACAAGATTTCCTTCCAAGTTATATCCGTTTATTTAACCTCTTCAGAGTCTGTGGGCCTGCATCAGTAGAGGAATTGGGCTGGAGTCTTGGGTCAGATGTGAGTACCCGCTTGTGGCTGGATGTGCGTGTCTGGCTCTGGTGGTGCCTTCAGCTGGGGGAGATGGTAAATGGAGAAGTGTGCTGCCCTGCAGACCTTTTTGGAGGCTGCGAGATCACTGGGAGTTGGCCTTCACTTGAGCAAAACCAGACTTTTTGGAACACAGATTAGTATTTATTGCTGAGGGGGGTGGCTGTTATTGCAGTGCAGCATCAGTTTGGATGGGAATGTTGGCATTAAAAAGCAAAACTAAAACAAAACCCCAGTGACCCAATGGTTCTGGATGTCCTGTGATTGCGCTTGACCTCAGCGATCAGAACGTTTTGTGAGTGGCACTCAGAGGCGTCTGTGTCATTCCCAAACCGACAGCGAGTGTGAATGTGGCATGAGGAAATCCTAGCTGGAGATTGTGCAGATGTCCGTGTCAGCCGGCAAATATGCACAGGGCTTAAATCAAGTTGTCTGTGGGGAGTACATTACAGTGTTCCCCATAAAGGCTGTAAAACTGCTAGCAGGGATAGATGGCAACGTGTAATATTTGATCTTCTACACCCATACACCCACGGTCTTCAGTGGAGCTGATGTCATTTCAGTGATTCCTTTGGCTTTAGGGCTTTTTAACTCTTCTTCGAGCAACATTGTATTTCTCCTTTTTCCTAATCTCTTCTCTTAAAACTGCCAAGGACAGCCCTCGCTGCTGGGTGGTAATTGTGGTTTAATGGTAGTTTACAGGCTGAACATGTGACTTGAAAAAAAAAAAAAAAAAAGGGGGGCGGGGGGGCAAAAAATTACTTGGCATCCTCCTTCAGGCGCTGGATGCGTAGCTTTGTAAAAGATGAGAAGTCCTCAGACACTGCAGCTGGGATGGAGTGAAAGGGTATGTGCCCGCCCTCTCCAGGGCCAGCGGGTTTGGGGCACGGGGACTGTGATGGGCTGCAGCCTCGGGGTAGAAATAACAGTTGCAGTCCTACCTGAGAGACAGGGGGGTTCCCCGGTGCAGTCAAATGGCTCTGACCAGTTTTGTTGTGGCTTTGGCACTGAAAACAAATTTTCTGTGCATGTCCCAAGCAGTTTGTGATTTTAATCTCTAGAGCAAACGTTTCACCATGTATTTGATACGGGTGTTGCATGTCCATTTGTGAGCAGCCGTTTTGTTTGCCCATTGCACATTTTACTGCTGGTGAAAGCATCGTTCAGTTTTTCAGTCTTACGGTGCAGCAGGATAGCAGAACAGAGATTAAAGACGCCTGAAAACACATGCTCTTCAGGGAGAGTCTCCAGCAGGGGCACAGGCTTCCTAGCATGTCCTGACTTAGTGGCTCTGGGAGTAAACTGCTAGCCAAAGGTGAAAGCAATCCTGATTATCCCTGATATCTTATGTTCTGTATCTCCACAGCTGCACGTATTTGGGGGCACGTACTTAAACCCTGTGTCTTAAAAAAAACAAAAATAGAGGTCCGTGTGTTGCCGATGCAGGCTTCTGTGGTACTTGTTCAGTGTCATGTGTTTCTTCTTTGTGGCACAAAATTTAAAGGAAAGGCAGAGTGGTTTCTGCTAAGCCACTGGATCTGTGTAGAACAGCAAGCAGCCACTGAACAGTGCCCTTCTGGGTTATGATAAATCCTCCTGACAATTGCGCTATAAATACTCATTGTATGTAAACCTGTATTGATTTCAAAGCCTCTTCAGGTTTATCTGAAAGAACTTCAGGAAGGGGTGTGAGTTATTTGGCAAGGATAAGAGATGTCCAAACTGGCTGTTGCAGAGATTCTCAGCTTAATTGAATTTTACTTTTGTCATCAGTTATCACCTCATAAAACTTAAGTTTCTGGAATGGGAGAAGCAAACTGATTTTGATTTGCTGCAATTGATCCATTGTAGAGAGAGCTTTTGAATACTTCGTCCAGGCGGGATCTTGATTCCTTATCTGTTTTGTGGGAAGGGTTTTTACTGTGGTACTCTCATGGGATATCTCAGGAGCTTTCTGAAACAATCTGCTAGTTGAACGCTGCTTTTCTGTACAGTGAGATGCAAGTTTCTGTGTCTGCTGTTCACCACTTATTAAATTAAGAAATAAATTAGGTGGTTGAGCTTGCTGGGAAGAAAAAGAGGAAAAGAGGGATCCCTTTTTGGCACTGTGAGTTATGAAACATCCCGATCTCTTGCCACGTGGTAGATGTTCCCTGCTGTTTGCTCTCCCTGTCCCCTCCTCCTGCCTGCTGTGGGGCGCTTCTGCAAGCCTTGCTAGATCCCAACCCCTTGCTTTAATTCGTGTGACTCATCTGGCCGTGCCTCAGCTTCCGTTTGTCTCGGGGTGAGTAAGGTCAGAAGCAGCTATCCGTGCGTGATTTTCTGAAGAAAAGTCAAATCTTTTGTCAAATGAGCACTGCCTCGATGAGAGCTTTATGTAGACACAGACAAATGAGGTTTCAGGGAAAAGAGATTCCTCATCTCCTCTTCCCCCTCCAATGTGAATAGTGCCGCATATGGGAAACAGATGAGTGACCTTTCTGTGAGAGTGCCAAGGACGATGCTTTTTGACTTTATTAAAGCGTTTGCTTGCTTTGCTGTTTACCCTGTTCTGGGGAAGATCCTTCTGATCTGGCACTGTAGCTCACTGCCCTCTTCCTTTAACATGAGGAATGTCTTCCTGGCCTTTCACTTTCAGCAGTTATGCTGATGGCTGGACATTTCCATTGAATCTCTTGTTTACAGGCAAGAAGCTGGTCTTGGATGCACTTTGCTCATTATAACTACTCAGCTCTTTGGTTGTTTTTCATTTCAATTTCCTTTAATGATATCAGTTAGGAAAGGATATGTAAATGACAGGTACATTCAAAACGCGTGCCTTGCTAGTAGATGCAAAGCTGATCTGTTGAAGTGGTGTTCCCCGTGGCCAGGCAGAGGGTCACTGTGGAAGCAGTGTGGGTCCTGCTGCAGAGCATCCCCAGCACCTAGTGCTGCCAGTGGCACTGGAAGGAGGGCACTGCTGCTGCATCCTCTCCTGCCGCGCACAGCCTGGGCATGGGGCAGGTGGGCTCTGTCAGGGGGCATCGCCACTCGACCTGGCTGTGTGGTTACCCTCGTCCCCACGTGCCTGGGGAGCAGGAGGCATTCGCTGCGCTTGTCCCAGCCCCCTGCCAGCAGTACCCACGCTGCTGATGCATGGTGCCGCGTGTGTGCAAGGGGGTGTCCTGCCAGGAGCCGCTAAGTGGTTTTGCTGATACATTAAAAGCAGATTTATGTGTTTGCACAAGCTGCAATGTCTGCTCTTTGTTATATAACTGGCAAATATTAGCATTGCTTTTGCTTTGTACTCTTCCCCAGAGCTTCGTCATGCCTGGGCTCATGAGCCTGGTTGAAGGCAGCTGCAGGCGCTGCCGCGGCTGTTTCCTGGTCCCCTTCAGGTGGCGTTGGTGGAGTGCCAGACACCACCAGGGAGCTGGCCTCCCTTCAGAGGTCCTCACTACGCTTGCGTTGGGGAGCCCCAGGCCCTGCCAGGCAGACATGTGGTGGTCACTGCCTGGGCTCCAGCAAAACAGGTCGGGGGGAGGTACAGGGGCAGTCCCTTGATCCAGATCCAGGTCATCTGCAGGCTTCTCCAGAAATCACCATGTTGGTCCTACCCAGTGGTATGTTCAGGGTTTTATTCTGAACTGCACAACTTACAACTGTATTGCTTTTCTATTTTTTAATGGCAGTTGATGCTCCCATGAGTCCAAGAGCTGGCATTCAAGGGCCTGGTGCATGATTCCTCCAGTTAAAACCCCCTTTACTTTGCATTCTCCAAGCTTAGGGCTTTATACTGGCTGCTGCTTCTGCTGAGTGCACATGGGTGCATAGAAGAACGCAAGTCATGAAACAAGAGGAATCCCGTCAGCTGAATGAGTACCATTGTTTAATGAACTCTGTTTATCTTTATGTGATTTCCTCAAGAGATGCTGTTTGGAGACACTTTCCCTTCTTTCTCATCTTTCTTAAAATATATCTTCTACTAAAGACTTGAAAACAACAGGCTTTGTAGAAGTGCATTATTAACTGTCCTTCTGATGGGGCTTTTAATTCTTATTAGCGTTTTATTATTAATGGACTTCCATGAAATTTATAGAACCGTTGGTAAGCGAATGTTTGATGAGTGCATCTGTTTGTCTCATGTCAGTTGGCAAAACAAACTCATGCTGCTTTCCTCTTTTTTGTTGTAGCAAACCTTCCCCAGTGACGTCCACTCCATTGAAGAAATTTTGAAGGTAGGTGCTCTTAAGTAATAGATCTCTGCGTTTGCTTGTTTTGCATGCATTGAAGTAGTGTGTGGGGAAGAAATATCGCTCTGCTTCTGTCCTGTCAGCGGATGTTGCAATCGCTAAAAGTGTGTTTTGGGGTACACTGTGAAGAAGATAAAAGTTAGCTTCAGATGGTGCAGTCCAGAAGCAAGACTGACAAGTCATCTGAAACAGCCAGAGGTGCCCCTTCGTCAAGTCAGGGTGTTGCCGCTACTGAGCACACTTCCTCCAAAGGTGCTGGACATGCTGCCTCCTGTCCATGCAGCCAGCCCCAGCAGCGTGGCCCTCAACAGGAGCACGCACCTGCATCCTTCCCACTCGCCTGCATGTGGCACTGCTGCTGGGCTGCTTCTCCTTCACTGTAATTCTAGTCCATTTGTGCAAAGCTAAGCCAGCTCTGATGCAAAACTGTCAACTGTCTCTGTTACCTTGTGTCAGAGCTGGCTTGTGAGCAGTGCACAGGCTCCCAGTAGCTGGGTCTGAGTACGTGTCACCTGTTCACTGTGCACAGTGTGAAAATGCAGCGATCTGCAAGTTGGTCATACTGATACTGAGAAGACAGTTCCTTGATGTCAAATATTATTCTGAGACACCAAAGTCCTAACGAAGGTGTTTGGTTTCTGTGATTCACTTCCCTCACTGTTGCTTCAGGTTGCAAAATCCTGATGCCCTTATTACTCTCAAGAAGCTGTTGTTGGGGCAGCATTTTAGCTGAAAGGTAGTTGTGCACTGGTGCTCACTAGCTGCTGTGTGCTGGTTGGTGTTGTAGCACGAGTACTCCGCCTAGAAGTACTGCATTCTTTCATATTTCATGAGACATCCTGTTTTCTTGCCTGTTAGTAATGTATAACACTGTTTTTGCAGCAACTACAGGGAAGCATGTACAAATACGTGAAGAGGTGTAGTGCAGTATATTGAGGAGTTTATCATCTATTGCAAGATTGCACAGCTAGTGCGTGAAGTGAGCAATGAACTGAACAGTGGGAGGGGAGAACAGAGAAGGCAAGGGTGGTAATGATGCGATAAAATAGTTACCCAGGTTAGTTGTAGGCTGCTTCTAGTTCTTGCACAGAAACCCCTGTAGATTGCTCTGATCCCTGCTTATAGAGCCTAAGGTAGCATTCCCTGTAAGTCTTTGCATTTCATGTTATTCCTAATAGATCAGGAAACTAGGGACAGTTCTGAACTTTCATATTTGTGCCTTGATGAAAAAATGGCACTTGTAAATTACGACACAGTAGAGATTTTCTCACTTCAGTCTATTTGGGGCCAAAAGTACAAAAATGTACTTTGTGCTGACATGTTCCTCATTAATTTCTTTTAAGCCCCTGAGCAAACTGCGTGTGGTGCATGCTTGCCATGAGATGCGTTCAGCATGAACATAATTCCTAACTTTGTGAACCGAGCAAAGTGCCTATGTTGTGTTACTCTGCATGCTGCTTTCTTCAGGAAGTTGGCAGGGAACGGTTGTGATGACAGCCACTCTGCATGTGGATGGTGGGTGCACACCTTGAGTGCTGTTGGGCTGGGGGGGAAATCCTGAGATAACTATTCCTGGAGAGTCAGTGAGGGTGGCAGGCCATATGAATTCACTTACTTCTTGGAGCAACTATTATGCTCTTCAGGATTGAAAACTTGAGGATTTGGAGCCAAGAAAAGTCTGTGTTGTTTGATTTCAACAAACTGGTTCTGAATTTCTGAGCCCCAGCTTCCCCAAAGGCCTTGTCTAGATAAGCCCCCATTAAAGTATTTTAGCTTATGTTCAAGACAAAGATCCTTGTCTGTGCTAAGCTTTTCATGTATGTTCGTTGCAGTGCAAGCTAAGGCTTTAGCATGCTCATCTGGGCCCAGCTGTGGTGCCAGAAGAGGCAGGTTGGAGGCTGATCTTGCCTGCCAAGCCCTATCCCATGGCCGTGGTGTTTGTGCCCTGCTTTCACCTGGATCATGGCTGAGCCTAAGAAGCCAGTTCCTGATAGTTTTGATGGGTGAGAGTAAGGGCAGGGGAACAGGGCAGAAGGATTCCTAAAGGCCGAGCACATCGGGCAGTCTCTTTCTTTGGTCTGAAACTGTGTCCAGGAGCTCTGCGTCAAAGACATCTTGGTTGGTCAGAGCAAAAGCCAGTGTTTCAGGCAAAATAGTATGGGGAATGGCTGGCAGTCAGAGCTCTCTGGCTGACCTCCTTGAGTTATGAAAAGCCTTTCAGAGTGTTGTTGCTGTAAGGGGATAGAAGAACTTCCGTAATAGGAAAGTCCTGCGCTTTGAAAAGCCCTAGAACTACTCATATACAGGTTTTATTTACTTTTCCCTTTGTTAACTGTGATAGCTGTAAGGCGGAGGCCTAATCCTGCAAACACAGTAAGTACTTAACTCTCCACAAGCTTCGCTGAGATTGCTGTTACTTGGGCAATGCAAGTACGCTTGCAGAAAAGGAGCAAGTCCTCACCATGGTCTGGCTGCGCGCTTGAAGGAGGTCGTCTTGCTGCGGTACCGTCTCAGGTTTACAGTCGGGTCGACAAGGACGTTTTTGGTAGATCCATATGAATCTCTTAAGCACAAAACTTCACCTGCGTGTATCAGCAAAAATACTGTAAGCTGCTTCTCTTAATCTCTTTCCAGGAAATGACCCACTCATGGCCACCTCCCCTGACAGCTATTCATACGCCTAGTACAGGAGAGCCTTCCAAATTTCCGTTCCCAGCAAAGGTAAAACACCCCCTTTTTGCCAGGGCTTTTGATAAATTAGAAGAGAGCTTTCCAGCTCTTGCGTGTGTTTTCATCTGATTGTGTCCCCCTTTCATAGCTAAAGGCTGTTAGGAGAGATTATCTTTAGAAGTCTTCAGATAACTTAAAGCACAATGGATCTCAAGTTATGTAACGGCTGCTTGCAACGCATCGCATCGTTTTACTGAGAATTAGATCAGATTGTGCTTCTGAGTAATTGTTTTTGAGTGGGCTATATGGTGGCATAATTATCTTTCTCTTTTTTATTTTTTAAACAAGCTTTGTATTTTTAGAGTTGAAAGATGTTTGAGCCAGAGGGGGGATGAATGAATAATGTTTCAATTATCTCACTTACACATTTGTTACACAACTTACACATTTGTTACAATCACGGGCTTCAAATGTGGCTGCTTTTCAGAAACATTGTAAGCATCTCATCTCTGTTGCAGCACAAAAAGCATTTTATCTTTATTGCAAACAAAAATATTTGCTGGCTGTGTTAAACACAAATGTTTTGCAGCTTTTATAAAATTTTGTTAATATTTCTTCAAAAATGCACATACCGCTAATGTGCAAGCAACACATTTTTGGTGGCAGTAGCACATATTGTTTCTGTCCATGCTAAGCTGTGTCAGGCCAGCTTAGACTATTGGACACTTCAGAGTCATACTTTGACAAGTTAGAGTAACAGTAAGTAACACATGGAAAACAAATCATTGATCTGCTGCTATTATGAGAGAGCGGATTTTTTTTTTTCTCAATTTGCACTTTGTCCTTTCTTTCTAGGAATCGCAGCAGGTTGGATCTGTAGCACAGAATCAGAGTAAGTAGAAATCCAAAGAAAACACAGTTATGCGTGTATTGACAGATAGTTTTGTGTGTTGTGTGTTATACATTGAGGAGAACATCAAATGTTTACATTGATTAAGGAGCACAATTTCCTGTGCTTTGTTGAACAGTGATGAATTTAGAAAATGTTTAAGAGATCGTATACGCTCACTACCTAGAAATTAAGGCAACAGTTCAGCAGAGAACAAACAGTATTTCATTAGGAAGCCCCATTTGGAGAGATGAATAATCTCAGTGGCAAACAATTACGTCCTGGAAGGAAGTGACTTTCTAACCTGATGCTCAGAGACCATAGGGTAAAATATGCTACAAGTGAGGCAAATAAAACCAACCAGTTCATTTTTGATTTACAGAACAGTATGACGCACCTTCAAAAACGTTGCCTAGTTCTCAACCAAGAACATCGTAAGTAACCAGACTCAGTTCCCATCTCTACTGTGCAGTTACTTAAAAGAACCTGGAATGAATTCAAATTTGGTTTACTTGATAATTCTGAGGATTAAGGTTTTATCAGTCTGATTTTTCTCATAAAATTTCAATGCAGGGAATTTTCATGAGCAGAAACATTACTGTTTCATGATTATGATGACTGTGTTAAAAACAAAACAAAACTGAAGAACCCCCCCCCCCCCCCAACTATTAATGTACCAGATTGACCTTTTTTGCTCTTTTAAGCTGTGGCTATTTAACTTCTTGTCACACTTAGTTATGTTCAAACTACTAATGATGCATACAACTGACATAAATTATAAGGGATATAAACTGAATCTGATCTATTCTGCATATCATTTTGAAGCCTGTGAGGGCTAGTAAATCTACAGCTACGAAAACTGTGAAAACCAAGGGTGAAATTTTAAAGTAATTGTATGGTATAACTTTCTGCAATTGCCCAAGGAAAAGTTTTCTAAAAAGTGTTGTCTAAATTTTATTTTTATTTTAAAAAACTAAACAAACAAACAAAACTTTCATGTGGACTTTCTAAAAACCTCAATTTATATTCCAATAATGTTAGGTAGTTGCAAAGTGGGGTGAAGATGAAATTTCTGTAACTTTTAAAAATAGTATTTATATATTTCTACTTCTTTTTCCTATCATGTTATGCTTTCTCTCAGAAGAAAGCCTCTTAGAATTTGAGTCTCAGTGTAAGATGTTTATGCATAATCACTACAAAAGTTATACAAGGCTAGAAAATGTTAAGTTGGTGGATAAAATAACTTGGAACTGTCCTTGTAGGTGAAAGTGGTTATCTATTAATTAGGTTGATTACAGAAATTGCTCGAAAGTTGTGTGGGCTGACATTAGTCTTTCAGGATTAACCAGGCCAGATGGCAGCATTGATAGGTTCTGAGCCCTGAGTGACAAATAGAAATCTTTCCATGTCTGGAAGGCTAAGGGGTCTGTGTGCAAGGTAGTTGCTGAACCATTAAATGCCTGTCAGTTCATGTGATATATAAAGATCTTATGTTACTCCATGATATGTTGTTCCATGGAAGGCTGCGAACTACAGACTACAAAGCTTACTCCACTTGTTTTTCCTTTTTCTTGTCATGAACAATGTAATTAAAAAAACCCCAAAACCGGGCTAGTCACAAGTAAGAGGAAGAGCATCTCTCCATCTTGGTTGAGACTGTAGAATTTTGCGCTCAAGCTCTGTAAGATCTGTAAAACAACCCTTTTCATACTGTTCCAGCATCATGCAGAGGAGCCCTGGCTGGCTGGGAGTGTGGGATAGTGTCTTGCTGAGCAGTCAGCTACTCTCTTAATCCATTCTTTATTTTGCTCCTCCTTCTTCCACCCCAGCTTGCTCCTCCTGAACAATTTCTGGAAATTTTCATTGCACTATTAAAAATACTAGTTTCAACTGCTCCAGGCCCTGCCTTCCTCTTCAGCTACCCTCCAACCATCATCTTTATTTCAACTCTTCTCAGCTGCTTGTAAAAATCCCTGTAGCACTTTAGTTGGTTGTCCTGGCAGCAGAGAGAGAAGAGACTTTACTATAGACAAGAATCTGAAAATACTCCTTTCTTAGCCCAAAGGTCCAGAATTGTAAATTTGGCACGGTACGTAGCTCTGTCCTTAGCCAACATCCCCTCTCCGCTCAGCGTCCTTGCAGGCACTTCGGAGCCAGTGCTCATCTAACCAAGGACATGCATACCCACAATAGATGAAGGCAGTTGAAGCAGGAGGAACAGGGTGCCTTAGGTTTATGTCCAAAATGGAGTTAAGGGAGATTTGCCCAAGGGCTTCCTCTGCATCTTTCCCTTGAACTGGTGCATCCCTTTTTTGTTTTGTTTTTGTTTTCGTTTGCACAACAGGGCTTGCTTTCTTTGCTGTTCAAAGCGCACGTGACTGTCTGAAAATTCAGCTGCCTAGAGTAGCTCGCATTACAAAGTATAGCTGGCTGAAAACAAACAACGTTTGTGCTGGTTAATTAGAGGTTGAAATCCCGGTGCATCTGTGTGCCCAAATTAAGCATTCAGCTTTACAGAGCTTGCAAGGGTTTCCCAGATGGCTTTCATTCTTGAATGCAGCCCCGAAGTTAGCACCTGGCTGCGCTGGAATGGAAGTAGCCATTCTTTTAAAAGGGGAGATGCCAAGTGCATTCTTGGTGATGCGTCTTTAACCCAGCTGGCAGAGAGGGACCAGCCTGTGCTTTCAGTGGGGTTGTTTGGCAAACGATACTAGTTTTAGTGCCGCTGCTTTTGCTAAAAGAGCTCTTTTTAAATAGCTTTATAGGGAGATCGATGGCGTGTATATAAGCTGCAAATGAACAGGTCCTGCAAATGAAAACTTGGCATCTATTAACTCCTGAGCTAATTAAAGCATTAAAATTATTAAAGCAGATTTATTTTCTTTAACTAGGCTATTTAACAAATTTGTTGAAACCTGGTTTTGGGGAAACTGGCTTTGTCTATCCTTGCAGAAGTATGACTCATTTAAAGTTTTGGTGTTCTTCCTTGATCCTAAATTCAACTTAAGTAGTTGCAATGTTCTTTTATGCTGATGCATTTTATTTACCAGCAGCTCAGGTGAAAAAGGCAGTTCTCCTTATTACAAACAGTTAAATCAGATTTAAAAGAAGATCTAGGTAGTGTTTCCTTGCATTATCCTCTTACCTCTAAAGGAAATGCATCTGTAGTCCACAATTCTTAAAGCAAAACAAAAAACCGAAAACACTTTCAGAACTTCTTAGCATCCCTGGAAGTTTGTTCAGTATCACCTTTGAAGGACTACTTCCCCTAATGGGTTGGGGAAAAAAAAACCCTAAAAATAATTACTTGACATGCCAGTAGACATTTGGCCAAACTGCCCAGAAGTGTGGAGAGTGGCTGTATTGTTGCTATTCTTCTTTTTTCCTTTTTGTGTCTCAGCGGACTGGCAGTGGGCTTCAGCTCTAGCCCACATGCAAAGTTGGCGTATGCAGGATTGCTGCAGACTGTGTGCCATTTGCCTTCTGTAGAAAATTCAGGGGCCTCATTTTCTAAGGTGGTGTCTCGTAGCGCTTCCCTTCAGTGTTTACTCTGAAAGGAAAGGCAAGAGGTGGCTTCTACCAAGAAGTTGTGTGAGGAAATAAGGCAGTGGAGGCTGGGAGATGGAGGAGGATAGTCACAGGGGAAATGGCAAAGTCAAAATGCCTAAACAAAGAAAGCACATAGGTCTTCGCACATGTCATCAGACAGAGCCGTTGTGGCACTGAGAGCCTCTTTTGCATCAGTGAGAGGTACTCGGGGGCTGTGGGGTCAGTACCTTTGCAGGAGGTGTCACCTGTGTGGGAGGGGTTGGCTCTGTACTGGTAGATGCAGGAGGCATTTGGGGTTTCTTCATGCTGTCCTGCTCTGTGGACAAGAGTGGATCCATCACTTCTGGTTTGTGGAATTGTTCGTTGTGAGACTGTGGCTAGCTTTGGCAGTAAACATGGTCTTATTTCAATGAAAGTATCTCCATCCATGTCAACCGCTTTGGTATGAGTGTAAAATAATTTGTCTAGTTAGATGGGATGGTGTTTAAATAAGGGGATCACTTTTTTATTCAAGGTTTTTACTCCTCTTTTGTCATGGAATCATAAAAGCAACCTGCTCAGGGTCATTAGAGGTGACCCACAGAGCCACAAATCTTTTTTTACTTGGTTCATAATTTGACATGTAGAGTGTGAAGGTTTGTGTAGTTTTCCTTTTCCTAACAAGTGTCAGGAACACTAACTCTCTCCCCACTTTTCCAAGGTGATGTGGTTCATTGGGGATCTTTCATACTTGTTTTCTTGCTATAAAATGTGTTGTCACGAGGGGTTGGAGGCATCTTTTTCTTATGTGGGCATGAGAAAAATTTCTCACAGAGAGCCCTTAGTTTGAAATGAGGGTGAAATAAACAGAGTTTTGACCTGGTTGATTAAAGTCCCTGTCTCAGTTCCCAAGCTTTTTATCCCATTTTTGGAATGACACTTGTGTAATTCTCTGGGTTGAGGAGTTGGTCTCCAGCTAGTTTCAAGATTTGAATTGCTGTACTTTTGAATAGCAAGAGAATAGCAAGCCTGTCTGTTTTCCAACTCCTTTTGGGATGCCTGCATGATTGCCAAAGAGGGGGATAACAATTTGGAAGAACTTTGGGTCCCTCCCCATAAACCCTTCCCCTCCAGGCTTTTGAGGACCTCAGTAATGCATTGAAATTGCAAGCAGTAGTTACCACCTGCAGACAGGACTAAATTAGGCTTTTTGGAAACATTTGCAGGCAGCCTTCTCTGTAGCAATAGTAAAACAGAGTTCGTGGCTCCCTAGTTGTAAACTGCTTTGAGTATCTGAACTGCTCGATGTTACGGTTACCGCTGAAATGTGCAGGAGCATGAAGCTCATTGTGTAGAGAAGAAATAGGAGATAGGCTTGACCTTGGCATTTACGTATGTATGTGTGATAGGAGACTTCAGCAGCAAAAAGAGAACCCCTGTGACCAAAGAAATATTCGCAGCCCCTGAGAGCAGAGTGCGTGAATATGCGCAGCTTCTGGTGCAAAGATGATGCTTTCTGCCCTTTGGGGAGCCAGTGCAGGCTAACAGCACGCTAGTCTCTTGCTGTACAAGGATCAGACTTCTTCCACCCCGCTCTGCTGTGTTAGTGTGCTAGGTAACCTTTGTTGGCTGTGTTAGTGTGATAGGTAACTTTTGTTGAGGAGCATTCCCCTCACAGAACTTTGTTGTCTGTAGACGGCAGCCAGTTATACTGTCCTCCATTGCAAAATGTCCTGAGATTAGCTGGAAAGCCCAGTAAAATGCCTAGGCTGTGTGTTACCATTTTATCGTTCATTCAGGTAATGACAGGGTTTAGCAGATTGAGCATGCTGAATTCAAAAAGGATGTGGGAGGTTGGTTTGTTTTGGCAAGCACAAACCAAGTCTTTTTCAGTGTCTGCTGCTTGAAAATGTGTCTGCCTTGGCTGATATTTATCTTCTGGTTGTCTTTCAGAATGCTCCACGACGACCTGCAGCTCAGTGATAGTGAAGAGAGTGGTGACGACCAAGTCAGTTTTAGATGTTTTATACACTAGGCACACAGACATCCCTTTAAATCATCACGACTTGTTGCGTTGTTCCGAGTTCCTTAAGCTAACCTTTCCTCCCCCTCTCCTCTTTGTTTTTGTGAACAAAACAGGTTGTTGAAAAGCCACCTTCTTCACTTGCTTCTCCAAGGTACAGGTTTGTTCCCAAACTCCTAGCTAGACCAAATAAGGAAGAAAAATAAACCTACTTTTTATATATGGGGTAGATGGATATTGGGTTCCTGGTTTCTCTTGTAGATACAGGCTTTGGTTTCTAGCTGCGTGAAGGTGGTGTTGAAAATTGGCTTTAGTTGTGTGGGGTTTTGCAGAAAGCTCCAATTAGAAATGAATAATCCAGGCATGCTGGATTTTGTCTATGAACCAGAATTGTATTTCCCCAACTGTTTCCTTCTTTTATCCTCTTCCCCTCCACCAGTGTATACGTAGATCACACTAGAGCTAATGGGATTCTCAGTTGTAGTAGTGATGGGTGTTTTAGTTCAGTTTTAGTTCAGAAGGAAGCCCAAAACAGCCAAGGAGGTGAAGAACAAAAAAAGTGTTAGGTAGACTCATTGAGGCTGTTTCAGCTCCTCCTGATAAGGCAGAGGATTGTAAGCAGTTCCTGCCATGTATTGTTAGTCAGAAGCAATATTCAAGGTAGACTGAACAGCCACATGCCAGCATTAGAGGAAGAAAGGTGGAGAAGCCCAGAATTTTTCCTATAGGAGAGCACTGACATACATTTTTGACTTGATACCTATATTCTTCAAGCACAGGGTAATGGTCTACAAAGTCAGACTTGCAGAAGGGCATGCCAGTTCTTGGCATGATCTGTGTCTCTGCAAGCTCTTGAAATAGAGCGTTCTCACGATATCAGTCTGGATCAGCAAGGAGCTTGCCTCCAAATCATACAAATGTGTTGATACTGACATGGGAAACAGTTTTCAAAGTAAAAAATAAACATTTTGATTTCATAAGCCCATTTCAAAACAAAAAGAAGCTGTGCATAAAAGTCATGGCTCTCCCTCAGTTCCATCCATGCCCATTGTCAGTGCTGGAGGAAAACACTTTTGAGTAGGGGAGGGTGTTGCAAAGAATGCTGCTGCTTGACATGGCTGTTAACAAAATGGTTACAGCACCTTGACCATGTAACACAGATGAAGAAGTGACAACTTAAGGGGGAGAATACAAAAAAGAGAAACCATCCTGGAATGTATGTTTCTGTCTTGTTAGCCTTTATTGGAAATTTTTCTTTTGAGGCTTGGGGCTTTCAGAAAGCACTTGTCAGTTTTGGTTGTTTTTTAAACTTTGGTTGGCTAAATGCAGCTTCATATTGTAGCAGTGATGTCCTGCTTACATATTTGTCTGACTGGGTTGGAGTTGAAGGTTTTACTGTTTCCAGAGGGTTTTTTTTATTCCGGTGCTTTATCTTTTGAGTATGGCAATATATTCCTTTGGCCTTCTCCCCTCTCCTCTCAGTGCCAAAACACGGGGTTTCAGTTTTATTTTTGAATCCTGCCATGTCAATATAATAAGTAAGTAACCTTCACCCATGCTGCTTTCTAATTTTATCTCATGGTGGCCTTGCAGTGCCCTACAGTCCCAGCCCAAGAGTGTGGCATCAGCACATTCCAGCAGCCCGGAGTCAGGGAGCACCAGTGATTCAGACAGCTCTTCAGACTCAGAGACGGAGAGCAACTCGAGTGACAGTGAAGCAAATGACCCTGCGAGAGCGTCAGCACCTGAGGTGAATGCAAATAAAATGTAGAGGCTGCTTAATACAGCTTCTTGCCTCAGACTCTCTGCTTTCTGAATGCAATCAGGACAGGAGACCTGAAATACCGTCATCATTTAGGTGTCCGCTTGACATCTTTGCTGCATCATCAGACTTTTCTTGCCCTTTGCTTCCCTTCTAGACTTCGTCAATTAAATAACCCTTAGTAACAGCATAATTAAACTTTTACGTGCCTAACCTTGAAGTGTTCCCCCTTCTCCTTTGGCATTCCTGAAGGAATTAGTGCTTTAGCTGGCAAGACACAAGCAAGGTGCAGATGAGAAGCACAGCCTGTTTGGGGCCCACCTCTGCCCATGCAGCTTTTCTGGGTGCCAAGGCTATGGGCTGCTTCAGGGTGAGACCCTGATACGTTAAGAGGAGCCACGGCCCCCCTGCAGCTCCTGTGCCGAATGACAGATTCAGCTTCTCCCAGATCGCAGCTGAAGTGATCAGACCTGCAGGAAGGGCTGGAATGTGCTTAGACTTGCTTCTGTTGAATTTGGCTCAGATAGTGCTGCACTGGCATTTCTGAGGCTTTTATTGGGAAAAGCAGACAAACAGAACTTGGTGCCTTAAAGTTTCAGAATTGAGATTGTGCATTTTTTTAAAAATCTGCTGCAGAAGTGCTCATGTCCCATGGCTTCAAACAGTTCCTCCAGCTTGCAAAACATTCTCAGGCCAGTGGGAAGTGCATGGTTATATCCTATGGACCACAGCTGATATAAACCAATCCGCTGACAGTTTTGAGGTACTCTCACAAAGCCCAGAAACCTTGTAATTTATTTCTTCCCCCGCTCACCCCCCCTTTTTCCCAAGTTTTCCTTTCTTTTACCTTAGAAACACACGAACAGGGAGAATTTTATGTGCAGAAAACAAGCTTTGAGAAGGCATATCTTTTCATCTCACATCTAATACACTTTACCCTCCAGCAGTTCAGTTACAGACTTTGCTCACTGCAATGTGGGTGTCTTTGGAAAGAAACAGATGTCATGCTTCTCCTTTTTTACCAAACCCTGCCTGGTTTGTCCTGAAAATACTAGATCGTAAGATCCTTCTCATTCTAGTGAAGTCCTAGCTATTTGCCATTGACCATTTTATCCTTTCTTATTCAGCAAACTGTTCATCCATAGTGCTCAAGGAACAAGTTAGTGCACATGGCCCATTTGTTTATAGTCACTTCTTCACATGCAAAAGCACAGACTTTAAGACCCACAGGCAATAGTTCCCTTTTTTTTTTTTTTTAAAGTCTCTTGCTATCCTGTGTGTTTGGAAAACCTAATGAAAACCCATATGATGGTGTATATCACAAACGAGATGAACGATGGTAGAAGTGCTAGAAAAGGATCAGAGTGTACCACTATCTGATAGCTACCTACATTATAAACCAAAGTTTACTAAGTCTTTTGGCCATGTTTTTACAGTGTTTGACAAAAAAATTGCTCTTCAGTGGCTAATAAGTTAAAATTCTAATGAAAATAAAGCAGATTTGTGTTATCAGAAAAGTGTGGTTTAATTTTACTTACAAACCCGTGGTAAAACCAAACTGGTTTTTAAACCAGGTTTCTAGATTGACTCACTCAAACATAGTTGAAGACATGTCTTGTTTATCCACATGTTCTACAGCAAGTGGAGTCTGGATAGAGAAGAAAATCATGGCAGAAGGGATTAATTAGTCTTGGAAAACCTTTCATGTCCTAGGCTTTCTCTTTTTGGGGAAGAGTGGAGGCTCTTCTCAGAAACGAGAGTTGTGACTGGGGAGAATCGTTGAGGCTGGGAGTGTAGCTGTGCTCTGATGGTGCCCAGATAATGAGCTACACATCTGAGTGATGCTGACACATATGTGGTATTTTCAGAATGGGCACCAGAAAATCATGCCCCTGCTTTGCAGCTTCTGTTTTCTGTTTCAGGGTTAGTTGGGTTTGCTTTTCTCATAATTTGTCAGGCTACTGTTAGATTAGGCAGGGCTTGTAGCAACCACATTATGTTACCTGACCATGACTCCAGAGGCCTTCAGACCTCGGTTGTTGCTCGTGCCTTGCTTGACCCAGAGGGAAGTGAGTGCTGGGTTGTGTAGGCAGAGGACTTGGAAGAGGCAGGACTTGACGTGCTAGCCATACAATTTCTTTTGGTAGTTGGTTTTCTTTTGGTTAAACCACAGGAGCCTGACAGCCTACCTGTCAGACTTCAGTGAGATGTGATAGCTGGCACAGCTCCTCATCCATTTTGAAAGCAAATAATTTTCCAGAAGCATTGCGAGGACAGCACCCAGTCCGTTTTTACAATTGCTGCTTGTTTTATGTGTTGTCTGATTGTGCAGCTGTGTTGGTTAGTGGCAAACCAAGGTGAAGCTTTCATGTAGACTCATCTCTTACTGAGTGATGGTAGGGCTAGCAGAGATCCAGGAGTGCTGTGCAATGCATTTGGCAGATCCTGTGCAAAACCAAGGTCTGTGTTTCTGAAGTAAGTGTTGATGTGCACACGCTAGAGCATCCCCACTGTCTCATGGTCTTTCACTTTCAAGATCTTTTAACAGTAAGGGGAAATTTTACTGCGTTCTGGTAAGCTGTGCTAGGATGGAAGTAGCCCATAAAGGCATCAGTCTTGCATACTTCCTTTCTCTTTTTGTCTGCAGCCTGACCCACCAACTTCTAATAAGTGGCAGCTCGACAACTGGCTAACCAAGGTGAACCCACCAGCAGTACCAACAGAGAGTCTTAGCGAAATCACCCATGGGGATGGACGTGAGGAGGGCAAGGAACAGGGGCAGGGCGTCAGCAGCAATTCCTCCCACCAGCACGCCGAGCCGAGGGAGCCTCATCACAAGAGCTCCAGCCGAGCGGCCAGGGCTCCTCAGGATGCTCATCTTCCGACCAAACGCAACTGCCAGAAGTCTCCTGTGCGCGCTGAGGAGCCCTCACCCAGGCAGACTGTGGGTATCAAAAGGCCTGGCAAGGCCCTGGTGCACGAGGGGTCCAAGGGACGCCTGAAAGTGGAGAGTGACCCTGGTCCTTTTGAGGTCAGAGACCAGTCTTCCAGAGACAAGCCAAAAGTCAAAACGAAAGGGAAGCCAAAATCCAGTGACAGAAAAGACCCGAAGCCGGCACTGCAAGAGCCCTCTGAGAACAGAAAGCACAAGAGCTCCCACCAGGCCAGTGCCAAACCCTTCTTGGACCCCAAGCTCATGAGAGATGTTTTGTTTGGCAGTGCCCAGGAGGATCTTGCTCTCAGTCCCCTTCCTCAAGGCCAGGGCACAACCCCCACCAGGACTAGCAGCCACAGGCCTGCTGTCGTGGCCAAAGAGGATTTTCACAAGGAGAAACTTTCCTTGCCTATCAGGGAGAAGAAGTTGCTCTCGCCAGTGAGGGACTCCCCCACCCCTCAGTCCCTCATGGTGAAAATAGATCTCCCTCTCCTGTCAAGAGTCCCCCAGCCCCCTGGGAAAGGCAGTCACCAGAAGGGAGCAGAGGCCAAGGAGCTCCCTGGTGCAAGGAAGCAGGACTTGGAGAGGAAAACCATGGACACTCCTGACAAGTCCCTTCAAAAGAGGAAGGTGAGAGGTAGAGGTGGAGGTGGGTTTGTTACAAGGACCAAGGTGGCATTTGAAATGAAGTCTCCGCACGGGTTTTTCTGCTTGATAGGTTGGGAGCTGGACTCATTACACTCCTCCTATAAAGGTGTTACCAAACTTCTAAAGGGAATGTGTATCAAAACTGTCCACAGATGTTTCTTGTTGGTCACAAATCCCCTGCTGAGCAAATGAAAAGCCCTGTAAGCAGTATAACGAATGCTTTGGTGTTTTAAAATATTTTTTTTCTGTATTTTCTTGAAATACTAGTTTTCTCTGGCAACAAAACCCCAGCTCTCCTATGTCGGAGGAACTTTCAGCAGCAGGCTGTGTCAGCATGTGGCTGGCCGGCCCGCTGGTAGCATTTGTGGGTTTCTCTGGCTTTTAACCTAAGCAGAGCTTTGTAGGGCTGCGGTGCCCATTCCCCCCGCAACCCCTTTAAAAGCAGCACGGTATCTGTAGCACCTCCCAGACTGGGCAGTCATCTGTGCTATCCATTTAATGTCTGTTGTGGGAGAGCACCTTGCTTGCAGTTCGCAGGGGTGCCCAGGGGGATAACCAACCAGGCTGCCCCGGTCTGCAGTTTTTGGTTTTGTTCATCTGTGCACCTTCTGCTGCCTTTAGCCATGCAGCCTCAGTCTGAGTAGTGTAGTCTTTCCCTGTGTGGAGTCATTTATCTCCATGAAACAGTTGTGATTGCTTGCTTGGGCAAAGAGGAAGGAATTCTGCAGGTGTGAACTGCATTATTACTAGGGGTGATGGCAGCAGCCCCGTGCCTTTTGCTTTTCCATAAATTCAGACTTTTAACTGAACCAGGTTCACTGATAGAAACAAGCATCACTAAACCCTGCTTTGGATCTCAGTGCTTGGATAAATACATAGAAAACTTCTTTGGTTTTCCCTGGAGCTGCTGTGGTGCTAGCAGTGATGCTAATGCTTAAAAGATGCATGTTTTGAGTAAGGGGCTTTCCAGAGACCCCTTTGCAGAGTCCTTCAGTGGTGCTTAGGGACATGGCTTAGTAGTGGACTTGGCAGGTTTACGGTTGGACTCGATTATCTTCAAGGTCTTTTCCAACCTAAATGATTTTATGATTTGGTGATTCAGCTGTAATAGTTGCTTACTCTTGAATTACAAGACAGTCCTTAAACTGAGATGGTAGTTGCCCACAAGTGTTTTTTGGAAAGCTAACTTCCAGAGGGGACTGTGAATATACTTCCAGCCAGCTGGTTCAGCTGCACAAAGAGTTGGCTGCAGGTCTTGTGGTGAATGGGTATTCACTGTGGATATTTCAGTGCCTGTATACCTTTTTGGTCCTCCTCACAGAGCAGGTGGCTTAGCATGTGTGGGTGAATAACCTTGGTTCCTGCATGGGCTTCATTTAGTCTTGTCATTTTCTGAACTTCCCATTGTTGTGGGGGAGAACTGAGAAAAGCAGGGAAATGGTGAAGAAACTTGAGAGACCTCAGCAGTCCCCCTCTTGCAGAGCAGTGGGAGAAAGGTAAACAGGCAGTAAATCTGTCACTTCTCCTGTTGTCTCTCAAAGACCTGAGAGAGGAGCTATTTGATGTTAGACATGTCTTCCCTTGCAATCTGAGTGTCTGATTGCAGGAAAACCCACCTCAGAGCCTTGCCATCTGTATTACGTCAGTGTGCATCAGTGTCCTTGGAGGCTCAGGCTTCATCGCAGCCAGCTAGGTCAGGTACAGCTGTCAGACATCTTCTGTGGCAGTGTGGAGCTCAACCTGAAAAACAGTTTAAGGACATGATCTAGGTGCTGGAGCCTTGCCCTGAGCACACTGCCAGAGGTAGACTCTGCGCCGAGCACGACCCACTGAGCTCCATCACAGTGACATAAACCTGGATGTACTCTTGGGAGAGAGACAGAAAGTCCTGGAATACTTTTGGCTACCACCAGGCACTCTATGGGTAACGCTGGCTGATAAGTGCAGTGTATTTTACATTTTCTTGGCTTGTAGAAAGTTATTCTGAAGTTTTTCATTCAGGTGAGCTGATGACTTGCAGGCAATTGTAAGATCTGTGGAGTGCAATTAAAAACTATTATTTATTGCCTCTCTGCCTTAATGGTTCCTGTTCTTCTGGAGGACAGTGGCAGCAATTTTAACTGACTGTTTAAAATTTCACCTATATCAGATTCTTGTTAATAAAACCAAAAACCTCTGCACATCTGGGGAATCTGAGTGATCTAACACTCCTGTGAATGTAGTTTTTTCCTTCCCTTTGATAAGGTGTATCACAAAACACAAATGTTCATTACTTTGCCAGGAGCAATCTGAATACATTTCTGTACGATTCATACTGAGTAGGAGAAAAAAGCCCATCCAGAACAGATGAAAGGCTTATTTTCAGCAATGGAAGTGCCTTCATTTTGATTACTGTTAGCAACAAGAGATTTAGCAGTTCCATCCCTGCTACTACAAAATAATTAATCTATCCAATCAAAAGTAGATAAAATGTCTTTTTAGGGTACTTGTCAGTGAGCCTGAAATCTATGTCCACTGTGCTCTGGGTTTCCACTTTGTCACTTCCAAGATCTTATCTTTTCTTTTTTTAACCAGAATCAATCAAACTTAGCTGTGTTGGTCTGTACTTTACATGAACTTTCAAAATCTGAGTGATTTTTTTTTCTTTTTTTTTTTCTTCCTGTTAGAGGGAGGTGGAGAAGGAGATTGATAGGAAGAAAATGAAATCAGAAAAAGAAACAAAATCATTGCAGTCTTCAGCTAACAAAGACTCCAGTAAATTGAAGTGAGTATACAGTGGTGGGATGGCAGAAAGATGCATAAAAGTCTTTCTTAAAAAGGTTAAGGCGAGGAGTTGTATCTCCTGTGCTTATACTCATGAGTTTGCTTATAACGTAATGTGCCTTCTGAAACTTAATCTGCTGCGGATTTGTCTTTACATCCTGGAACCACCCATGTGGCTATGGGAATGTAATTTATACACATTTTTATTTGTTGCAGATGTGAAGTGATATTTGGGTGTCACCTATCTTCCTCTCCTTTCTTAATGCTGAGGATTATGGTTCTAATCATTCAAGCATAAGCTGATGTTTCAGTGGCTGGTTGTCCTCCCATACTTGGTTTATACTGCTGCAAAAGTGTTGAATGTTGTGGCATTTGTCCTGATTTCTAACAGTTGAGATGGGAATGAAGACTTCACCATTTTAAACATGAACTTGTCCATCCTGCAGCTTATGTTGCTGCATGCTCTGATGCATACATTACTTGTAGCTCAAAAAATCTGTTTACGCTGCAAGAAATTTAATTACCAGTTGTGCCTGTACTGCTTTTCCTTCTAAGCTGGTAGGCAACCATTTGCACTGCTGTCTGTCAGACCAGATGCGGGAAACGAATTTGTGCAAAAAACTGTATGTTGTTTGAGTTGCAAACAGTGTGGTAGACTGCCTGCCTGCTGGCATGCAGGAGTCATTTCCCCTTCTCCAAACTACAGTGGTGGTAATCTGTCAGCAGATGATTGCCCCAGATGATCTGGGAGGTGGCAGCTGTTCTGTGGGGAGTGGTGTATGCTTGTTCTGCACTACAGTTTAGGGGTTTCAGGGGATGGCAAGAGAACTTGCCATCTAGTTGAAGATGTTCCTGCTCATTGCAGGGGGGATGGACTAGATGACCCTTAAAGGTCCCTTCCAACCCAAACTATTCCATGGTTCTATTCTATGAGTCTAGGTGAGTAAGACTTGAGAGTTCAAGTATCAATTATATCTGTTTTCATGAGAAATGGAACTAGACTTAATATGCTTTTAAAAAGGGAGTTGGATTAGATGACCTTTAAAGGTCCCTTCCAACCCAAACTATTTTATGATTCTATGAACTTCTTTTTCTTTGCCTATGTCTTCCTCATTCTGGGTTCTGCTGTCATACTTATTTTGGGGAAGTTTGTGCTCTTACTGCATGGGAAACAGCAGAAAGCTTTTATCAGATTCATGATGCTTCACATGCATTTAAAGCTCTTAGTCTTTGTAAGGTGAGAACATGATGTGAACATGTTTTGCACACGGAGAAACTGAGGTGCAGACAAATTGAGTTGCTTGCTCAGACTCCCACTGCAGACAGGTGAAATAGGTGAAAGTGTGGCCCAGAAGTCGTGACTCTCGTTCCCATGACTGAGCAATCATGTCCACAGCAGAGAGAGTTCTAGGAGCCTCTTGGGAAAGGGTATTGTACCAAGTGTAACTGTATGTCCATAAATTTTGACTTGGTGATCATTACT